TCTCGCCCACGTCCCCACTTCACCCCGTTTGCCACCCGGAGCGGCACGAGTGCAGCACGCACCCGAGCGCAGGTGCTCGCGTGTGGCCGCATCGCACCAGAGCGCGGGCTTCCCAGATCCAGGGGGTGCCGTCCAGCCCGATTCCTCCTTCCTGCGGATTGCGGCTCCCACCCCGGCGCGCCCAGTCCCCACCCTCCTCGGGACCGCCGGGCGTCTCCGCGATTCGGAAATCCAGCGAGTGCGAGCGGCTGACGGCTCTGCATCAGGCAGGAAACCGGCCGCACGGAGGGTCCGCTGTGTCCTCCTCGCGGTGCGGTCGTGGAAAGGGACCTGACGTGGAAGGACCCCCGCCCGGCGCGCTTCCTTCTTGCGCCTCCCGCCCTGGGTGGGGGATGTCTCCAGCTGTCATCCTGCTCTCCGAGGGGCAACCATTCCACAGATTCGGGCTCTTCAAGTGCAGAAAACCACGGGGCACCCGGTTCCCGGCCCAGACATTCGCCGTGGCGTTGTCTCTTACAGGTGGCAGAGAGGGCGACTGTAAATAGCTGGTTAAGTGGATGCGAATGTACACAGTGTGCCGTGGAAGGACCGGGTGCTGCCCTGGGCATCTGCCAAGAACAGCTCCTGCACAGCGGAGGGGCGCGAGAGCGCACGGACAGTTGTTCCATTCTGTCTTCTGAACAGGAGACTTCAAAGTCCTTCCAGCACGCGGGAGGCCGCGCCTGGCTTTTGCGCTCTGTGCTTAAATGCCAGGTATTTTTTTATCGAGTACTGTGGGTTTCTCCTTAAATTCAGTTTTCCTCTGTGAAAAAGAGAACAAATGTTCGGGACATTTGTCCCATATACTGCCAGGAATTCCAACCCCTTTTGACCGTTTTAGAAAGACAGGGAGTTAGACGGGTTCTGGTGCCAGCCCGAATTCCTCCCCCAGGAAAAGAGGCTCGGGCTACAGTACTGGGATAAGGTCCCCTCTGGCTTGAGCTAGACCACTTGGAGGTCCCCAAGCTTAGGCTAGACCCCTCCCCCCACCCAGGGCCTCTAAGTTAGTCTACACCTCTCTGAACTCTTGTGGCTTAAGTTGCACCTCCTTTAAGTCCTCCAGAACAGATACCTGGGCACCAAAGCTACACAGAGAAGGTGCTGCTGAGGTGAGAGAAGAAAGAGCCACTCAGGTTACATCGTTTTCAAATAGGAACCACAGAAAGAGGGTTTTAGTTCAGATTTTTAAAAGGAGCCAGCATGTATTGAGCTTGGTTCCTCACTGGTTTTGAGTTATATTTTTTCTTATTTCCCCTTTTAAACATACCATCTCCTACCTTATATATTACACCGATATACAAACACACACCAGACATGCATCTTCTTTCCCTGTTTCCAGTTTACTTTTTGGGGAAAAAAGGAAATTATTTGAAAGCTAAAAGGAAGCAAAAATAATGTATTCCTTTACTAAAAGGGGGCTGAGACAGGGGCAATGTAGGTTGGAAGAAATCTCCCTTCAAAACACACAGGTGAACCACAGAGACGCAAGTTCATGGGGGGTGGGTGTGTGGGGTGGGGGCAGGAATCATGTCACAGTGTCCTGCTCCTATCTGTGGGTTCAGAGGAGGATGCCCAGCCGCACCCTCGGTGCCATAGGATTTGCAGCCTGTACTGCACAGCCAGACTGCCAAGGGCTTCCTTGAGAACACAGGGAGCCTTGCACACAGCGGGCGTCACTGAAGCGGGCCTCCTCTGGACCTGTCAGGGGTGGGTTCTTGCCAGGTCGGGCAGTGAGGGGACTGAAGGCTCCCTGAGAACCTTCGTCAGATTATGCCCACAAGGCAGGCAGCAGCCAGGACGCAGGCCTGCTTGCCTTCAGCCACCATTCATTCCTGCCGGCTCTGGGCCCCAAATGACTGTAAAACGTTTTTAGGACCCCCTGAAGATACATTTGCATTTTTGCAAATCATGTTGGGTATGTTTTCAATGCCTTTCTCTAGATGGGCTGATTCTTAGTTAAAGCCCCAGAACCCAACACAGTGCCTGGTGCAGAAGGAAGGTGAAGCGCTGCTGGTGGTGATGTTGCAGACAGGAATATTGCTTCCTATCCACAGCGCCGAGTCCCGCTCACAGACGTGCTTTGTTTTAGCTCAAGTCGGAAGAGCGTTTTTTTGAGCTGTTCCACTTTCCCACATCGACTGGCCCCAAAGCGGCTTCCATCGCATTCTTTCCCACAGTTTTCTTCATTGAGAGCTCATTTTATAAACCCTCTTCCCACTTGGCTTCCCGCCATTCTCCTCTGTCCACTCTGTCCCCACCAACGTGGCCATGGGCTAGAAAATCAATAAAGCTCTTAATCACAGGGGGTGGATGTCGCTGCCGCAGGGCCAGAGCCGAGCTCCTCACTCAGCAGGTCAGTGCGCCGAGCCAGCCTCCCTGGGAGGAGCGGCTGCACTGCCAGGCCCCCGGGTGGGACTTGTTCCACATCACACTAAGCGGCTGTGGTATGCTTCCCCTGCATCCCAGGATATATTCCTCTTAGAAACGTAAGTCCCTCTTCCACTGCAGCAAGCAGTCAAAATACTGAGTTTTTTCATTCATTTTTACCACCCATGTCATTCCCCAGGAGAAGGCTGGGGCTTACTTATAAGACTGATAAGAATGTTTTTGCAATAAATATTTTTATAGGCATCTTGGATTTTATACACCTTCCTACATTTAGGAGAAAAGATTGGCAATTCACTACTATGTGTACTGGCAAATTAAGGGAGACCTCGTGGCTGTGGAACTTGTGTGGAATTCGCTAGTGCTGCTGTCCTCGGACCCCTCATCCCAGCCAGCTGATAGGGGCCGGAGGGGCCCAGGTGGTCTTCTGAGTCCCCAAGCCCAGGGAAGGTGTCCCATGGATCTATGGCTGAAGCCTCCGGCCTGCTTTGTTTGTTTACAATGATGGCAGAAGACAAGGACAGGATGAAGAAACTCTTAAATAATCATCAAAGCTCATTTTGGCACTGCTCATACCTCAACAAGATCTTTTCCCACCAAATTCACCAATTTGATTGTGTTTACATCCTGTTTGTTTTGGTTCCCCCAAGAATGAGCCATGCAACTGGCCAATGAAGCTCTCTGGACCTTAGTTTTCCCATCTGGAAGCGAGGAGGTTGGGCGACAAACATTCTAAGTGCACACCTCCTCTGTCCACCATCCCTGGGGAAAGGCCAAACAGAGCGTGGAGAGCCCCAGGGACAAGTCCCAGAGTCATCTCAACTTAGTGGCACTGAGATCTGGGCATGAGGGAGGGACCTGTATCTTACTTAGAGGCATGGGCCTTTCAGAAGAACCAAGGTCCTTGGATTCTGAAGCACCGAGTCACAGATCAAGTGGCTAACTGTGTTGGTGACAACTGCAGAAGCTGGAGGGGGGGCCGGAGAGGAGCAGTGAAGAGCAGGCTGTGGGGAGATGTGGATGAAAGGAAAGCCTTTATAGCATACAGAGCACAGTGAAGAGCAACCTGGAACATCAAGGGCACCAAATAAAGGTCTGGGAGCAAAGGAAGAAATGGAGAAAATGCATTCTGCTGGAAATAGACATGCCTGCAGCGGTGACGAGGACTCAGGAATTCAGGGTGACCTGATTTGATTACAACAACAGACAGTGCAGGAGAGAAAGGGAAGAATAGCCTGACCGGAGGAAGTGAATGAAATAATAGAGAAGACATCATAGTTACCATGGCATTAAAACACCTCATGCCACATTAAGCTTCTTTTTTCTCGATTCTTGTTCTTGCAACATGTTAATGTCATTGCAGTCTACCCAGTAAACTAAATTTAGCTCCTTTGGGGGCATGGAGGGAAGGAAGACGCAGATCTCCCTGTCTGGGTCCACGCGGGCACTTATTCTTCCTCTGAAGTGTGTCTGGTTCTTTGGTCTTGGCATTATGAGATATAAAAACCTTTGCTAGGCTGGGGTCTGATGAAACTGCTGGGAGATGTAATTTGAAAAAATAAAAAAAGAACAATTGGAAATGATTTTTAAAGAGGCAACTGCTTTAGAAATTACTTCTGAAAAATCAATAGGATGCAGATATTTGAAAAATACAATGACCATCAAAATAAAATGTGATTTTTAAGTATTCTTAAAAAAAAATTTTTTTTTTTTTGCTTTAAAAAAATATTTCACTGGGCTATAATTAAGATTACTGCAATTGGTCAAATGCAAATGCTAACGTTGCAGAGGGTGGGTACACTGTGTATTCTTTTGATATTTCTATACAGAAAGTGATGTCCAGCTGATTTACCACAAATGTCACCACATTCATCAAGGCCTAGATCAGTGATGGCGAACCTATGACATGCGTGTCAGAGGTGACACGCGAACTCATTTTTTTGGTTGATTTTTCTTTGTTAAATGGCATTTAAATATATAAAATAAATATCAAAAATATGTCTTTGTTTTACTATGGTTGCAAATATCAAAAAATTTCTATATGTGACACGGCACCAGAATTAAGTTAGGGTTTTTCAAAATGCTGACATGCCGAGCTCAAAAGGTTCGCCATCACTGGCCTAGATCTTGATCTTCTTCAAGTGTACTCACATTAACCAGGTCCCAGAGACTGATGAACATACCTGAATTATGACCAGCATACCAGAATACATGTTGTCATGGCAAGCACAGTCTCTCTTTGTAGTAAATGTACTCAGGAGGACAGATTCCATCCAGATGTTTTCTTAGTTAGCCTGGAGTTAGAATAAATGAAATTAGTTGTGTGGGCCACAAGAGAAATACTCCTGATACAATGTCCTAAAAGAATAAGGCTGCCCACCCACCCCACCCAACCCTGCTTAGATGGCCCTGTCTGCTTCTGAGACTTTGGGCTTCTTTCTTTTTTACATGTTCTAGTCTCTTCAAACTGGTTTCTCCACATGGCATCCTATATAGCCAACCAGGCAGATTTACACTTTTAAAGTCGTAATCACATTCTGTTTCTACCTTCCTGCTATGACAGTCAAGTCATTTTGATGAGAGTTTAGGGTAGCTCCACATTCTTCAGTCACTGTCTTGGTTTACTGCCACTGAATTCTAGTCAAATCCATTTTGCTAGTCTAATTTTCTGAGGGTGACCTGGTACCCAAGTTCTTGGGAAAACTGTAGGGAGCAGCTCTAGAGTTAAAGCCTCGGATTGCTCTGTGGCAGAGCCACAAACAAGTCCCAGCTTAGAGGACAGAGCCCTCTTAGCATAATTAAGCTTGACCTTATGGCTGCCCCCTAGATCCTTTTTGGGTAGCTAATGAGCTGTGGGAGATGCAGCAAGTGCTGCCAAAACAAGTGAAACTCACAAGAACATTATAACTATGTTGACCACTACCTTATTTTTCTCTGACTATAAAATAAAGCCTCAGCTTGCTGGCTGGATCCTTCTCTGTGGCCTCATCCAGGCATAGGAGATCCACCGAGCCCCAGCTATATTCTCTTTGTCTGTCTTTTCTTTAACCCTTTGCCGCCCCCTCTCAGGCTCACCGAACCCTTGGCTGTGCTGGCATGGCACAGAAAGCACCTCATTGTTGCTTCATGGGCCACCAGCAGTGGCCTAACCTTCCTCAGGCTCTCATGACCATTGGATGAAGAGATCAGGCCCATTAAGGCCCGTATGTCCTGTGCTTATAGAATTGTCCCTCCTTTCCTGGGTACCCACCTCAAGGGTATTTGGCCTTATGTTATGATGACTTAGGCTGTGAAAGTTCACCTGGAGGGCATAGGTACCATCTACTATAACATATATGGAGAGCAAAGTATCCAAACAGGACTCTGACTTTTCACTCAATATCCAGGAATAAAAAAAAAATCACATGACCCTGTTAACTCAAGTCACAAACAAAGACAGGTGGATGCAGTGTTTCTGGGACTCCTGGCATTGAAATGATACCTTTGTCCCATAGGCTGCCCACATCTGGAGGGACTTGATGTGAAGCCATCCCTTCCTGGGCTGTACTTTGCTCTGGACCTGCCTTGCAGTCTTTTTTTGAAGGTTGAGTGTCATTTCATCCAAATTGAAAGAGCCCAGTTCCAATGGTGGCAGGCCTTGCACTGTCTTTTTAGAGAGCAATGCTAGCTGAGCTGATGCTAGCTAGCTGAGGGCAGGTCTTCTGTAAACCCTAAGCATCTTTTCCCAACCTGACATCAAGGCAATGCCTCAAGCTTGGGCTGACCATGGGTACCCATCAGAGGGGATAGCCTTGCTATTGATCAGCTAGGAAGGCAGGGCACCTTCTCCACCATTGCCTGCACTCCCCCCTCTGGACTGGCCTCCCTGGCCATTCTCTATCCATTCAAGAATGCCGAAAGGTTGTGATTTGAAGCAGGCAAATCAGTTATATATGAGATAAGAGAGAGGGGCAAGTCAATTTTCTTTTCCCTCCCACCAACCTTGCATTAGATTTGGGTATTTTGCAATTAATTTTCCTACTTCAAGATAGTTCCTCTGAAAATGCTCATTGAATATTTTTGGGTTATACAGTGGATTTATCTTACTTATAGGTTCATTTTCATCCAAGGGCTTGTTCCTCTTGTTGCTATACTCTTCTAGTAATTGGGAACTTTATCTCAAATAGAAAGTAATTTGGTATCTATGATCTCATAGTAATCCCTAGAGACTTGGTGGTATAAAAACTTGCCCAGGATCCCACAACAAAAACATGGCTGAATGCCCATTGGGACTTCAACTACATAATGCAGAGTAATTAGCAGGTGGGCATATGAGGGCAGGAGAGAATTGAGACGAGAATGGCATTTAGGAGCATGGTCCTTGTGATTTCATTTAATCCTGAAAATGAGCTTACAGAATCTTATCTCCATTTAAAGATGAGGAAACCTGAGACTCTGAGTTTAAATAACTTGTCTCAGGTCACATAACTGGTAGTAGTGGGATTGGAGCCATAGCTGGTCCAAACCATGAGGGGCAAATGCAGAGGAAAGAGAAATAACAGGACTGTGATAGAGAAACAATTTAACAATTTTTTCCATACTATCATCCAAGATGGATTTGTGGACAGTATTCTTAAAATTAATAATAAAAATGTAAAAAATCTATAATCTGGGAATTATGTCATCTATAGAAGTAAGCAGTCATATGCTTTTGAGAACAGTAGATAATATATTTGCACCTGGAAAAATATAAACAAAAATGTTAACAGTATCAGTTATCTCAGAGTGATTTGATCTCAAGTGATTTAATTTTTGTTGTTGTTCATTTAAAAAAGTTTTTTTATAATGACTATTTTTAACTTATATAATTATAAAAATACTAGAGGCCCGGTGCATGAAAATTTGTGCACTTGAGGGCGGGGGAGGGGGTTTCTCTCAGCCAGGCCTGCTCCCTCTCGTAGTCTGGGACCCCTTAGTGCAGTGGTCGGCAAACTCATTAGTCAACAGAGGCAAATATCAACAGTACAACAATTGAAATTTCTTTTGAGAGCCAAATTTTTTAAACTTAAACTATATAGATAGGTAATTGTTATTAACTTAATTAGGGTACTCCTAAGGCTTAGGAAGAGCTGCACTCAAGGGGCCAAAGAGCCTCATGTGGCTTGTGAGCCACAGTTTGCCGACCACGGCCTTAGGGGATGTCCACTTGCCAGCATAAGCTACAGTTGGACATCCTTAGCACTGCCTTAGTGCTGCCAAGGAGGTGGGAGAGGCTCCCGTCACTGCTACTGCACTCGCAGCCACCAGCTGGCTTGTGACTGAGCGGAGCTCCCCCTGTGGGAGTGCACTGACCACCAGGGGCAGCTCCTGTGTTGAGCATTTGCACCCTGGTGGTGTGTGTCATAGTGACCTGTCATTCAGGTCGTTCTACCTTAGGGTCAATTTGCATATTACCCTTTTATTATATAGGATGTTATTTTTTAAAAAACTACTGTCTGGTCGGAATGGCTCAGTTGGTTGAGTGCAGTCCTGTGCACCAAAAGGTTGCTGGTTCAATTCCCGCTCAGGGTACATACCTGGTGTGAGGGTTTGATCCCCAGTTGGGGTAAAAAACACCTTACAGCCGTAACTGGTTTGGCTCAGTGGATAGAGCGTTGGCCTGCGGACTGAAGGGTCCCAGGTTCGATTTCAGTCAAGGGCATGTACCTTGGTTGCGGGCACATACCCAGTAGGGAGTGTGCAGGAGGCAGCTGATCGATGTTTCTCTCTCATCAATGTTTCTAACTCTCTATCCCTCTCCCTTCCTCTCTGTAAAAAATCAATAAAATGTAAAAAAACACACACAAAAAGCACACCTTACAGAAGGCAGCCAATCGGTATTTCTCTCTCTCTCTCTCTCTCTCTCTCTCTCTCTCTCTCTCTCTCCATGTCCTCGGGTGAGGATTAAAAATAATAATAACAAACAAACAAACCCCTACCAGCTGGAGGCAAGTTTCTTTACTTCCCAGGCTTTATTTTTTTTATGGGTAATATGGAAATTCTAATAATCCCCACTCCATAGAGTGGTTGTGAAGATGGATCAATATAATGCAGGTAAAGCACTTCCAAGACTTCCAGGCACAGGGTAAGTATACAGACCCTGATGGCCACCACCAAACCGTATTAATTCACGCATCATCGTATTAATTAATGCTTCTGCTTCCACTCTTGCCGTCTCTGGAGTAGGAGAGTGGCTTTTCAAGTCAGATCCCATAAGCCGTTACCTTGCCTAAAGCCTTCCAATGTTGTCCTTGCACTTAGGATTACAACTGCACAGCTTACCCAGGAGGGAGGACCCTGCAGGATCTAGTCCCTCCCCACCTCTATGAGCAACACAACTCCCCCTCCCTTCTTCTCAGTTGCTACCCTCCAGCCACTCTGACCCTTTTGTTCCTAGAATAAAATCAAGTTCTTTCCTACCTCAGGCCCTTGGCACTCACTTTCCCCTTTACCTGGAGTCCTCGTCCCTATATGGTCTCATAACTGGGTTTTGGTCTTAGTGTAAAAGTCTCTCCTTAGGGACTTCTCTGGCCATTCAACCAAAAGCCCCTGCCCAGGCACACTTCTGTGTAATACTTCTCCTGGTTTGTTTTCATCGTAGCCTCTGTCGCCTGTGGCTACTGGACACGTTCTTGTTATTTGTTTAATTCTGTTACCTAGTGCCAGTCTCCCCATAGACCTTGTTTACTTGTCAGAGTTTTCACTGGAACACCCAGAACAGTGTCCAGCATCATAGGCGCTCAATATATGGTTGTTGGACAATTTAATTCATCAAGTAGATTATCTTTGTCAAGTGAAGGAACAGTTTAATCACCTCCTACCACCTCTCCTCTCAGGACTGATGCTTCCCTAAAGAGGAAGAAGGCAATCATGTAACTATTTCGATACCCACCCCGCCCAGGTAGAAAGAGGATGATTTTAAAAATATCAGAATGGTCTGCTTTTCAGGATCCTCCACATGAGGCCAGATTCATAGCTTTGCATCCCAGACTGAGACCCCCCAAAAAAAGGGCTGCCTAGATTTGAAAAGAGAGTGCTTGCAGGCTTTGACTCTCAGACATGAGGCTGGACAGGCAGTCCCCGCTCTACAAAGAGGTCGTGTTCCCAAGGTTTCTTTGTGTATGGTGTTTGTTTCCAGCACAGAATGTGTTTTTCACTGCAAGCAATGTCCAGTCCACAAAAGCCTATTTAACCC